AGGCTCCTGGGTGCTTGGTTCTCTGGGGGCAAATCCACCTGACTGTAGTCCCCAGGTCAGGAGTTCCCAGAGAGCCAGCCTATTTTCTTATAAAACCCATGAGCACCAGCCCATGAATGGCATAACCCACAGTGGGCTGGGCTTTCCTCCATCAATCACTAAGAAAATGCCTTACCCCTAGATCTTAAGGAGGCATTTTCCTAGTTGATTTTTCTTTCCTTTCAAATAACTCTAGTTTGTGTGTCAAGTTGACAGAAGACTAGCCAGCGCACAGGTATACACTGGAAGGAAATCATGACTAGTGTAGGAAACCTAGCCAGCCTCCTCTGGCTAGTGACATTATTGACCTTAGAAGGAAAATTCTACTATTTCCACTTTGCTAGACCAGCATAATTCCTTACCACATTCTAAATCTTATCCTTATAACCGTAGGTAAATTTATGTCTTAGTCAATGTTCTATTGCTATGAAGAGACACTATGATCACAGAAACCCTTATAAAGCAAAGCATTTAATTAGGGTGGCTTACAGCTCAGAGGTTTAGGTCATTGTCATGGTGGCAGAAGGCATGGTGGCATACCAGATGACATGGTGCTAGAGATGTAACTGAGAGTTTTACATGCATATCAATAGGAAACAGGAAGAGAAAGAGACACACTGGGCCTTGTTGAACAGGGTTGTTTTGGCTGTCCTGGGTCTTTTGTTTTTCCATATAAAGTTGAGAGTTGTTCTTTCAAGGTCTGTGAAGAATTGTGCTGAACATTTAATGGGGATTGTATTAAAGCTGTATATTGTTTTCAGCAAAATTGCCATTTTTACTATGTTGATCCTACCTATCCAATATCATGGGAGATCGTTCCATTTACTGGTGTCTTCTTTAATTTCTTTCTTTAAATACTCAAAGTTCTTGGGATACAGGTCTTTCACTTGTTTGGTTAGCATTACCCCAAGGTATTGTATGTTGTTTGTGGTAATTGTAAAGGGTGATGTTTCTCTGATTTCTTTCTCAGCCCATTTATCGTCTGTATATAATAGGGCTACTTATTTTCTTGAGTTGATCTTGTATCCTGCCACTTTGCTGAAAGTATTTATCAGCTGTAGGAGTTCCCTGGTGAGTTTTTTGGATAACTTATGTAAACTATCATATCATCTGCAAATAGTGAAAGTTTGATCTCTTCCTTTCCAATTTGTATCCCCTTGATCTCCTTTTGTTGTTGTATTGCTCGAGCTAGAACTTCAAGTACAATATCGAAGAGGTATGTAGAGAGTGGACAGCCTTGTCTTGTTACTGATTTTAGTGGAATTGCATTGAGTTTCTGTCCATTTAGTTTGATGTTGGCTGTTGGTTTGCTGTATATAGCTTTTATTATGTTTAGGTAAGTTCCTGTTATTCTGGATCTCTCCAAGACCTTTATTACGAAAGGGTATTGGATTTTGTCAAAGACTTTTTCAGTATCTACTGCGATGATCATGTAATTTTTGTTTCTTAGCTTGTTTATATAGTGAATTACATTAATGGATGTTTGTATGTTGAACCATCCCTGCATCCCTGGGATGAAACCTACTTGATCATGATGGATGAGTTCTTGTCTGAAGCTCTGACCAGAGTGTTTTAAGAATAGACCATCACAGCTAGCTAATCTGGAATTGTCTAAAGTATTTTTAATCCAAAACTGATCCCTCAGTGGTCTTTACTAGTTCAAAGACATCATTTTGAACCAAATGGAATCAATGTTCTTGGGCCCCATACTCTTTCTGGAGACTTCAGAGTTTGTTGTTAGAAAATTGTATTCTTCACTGTGGAAGACTTAAACATTAATATCAAAATAGAAAATTTAAATTTTCTTAGGTATACATATAAGGAAAGTTACCAATAAAGGAAAAATTAAGTATGAGGAAAATTAGGATTTTTGAGAGATAACAGTTTTGAAAATAATAGTCCCAGATTTGGGTTTTCTTTTGTCTCATACCAGTTGACTCTTCTGAGTTGAGATAGAAACTCTGAATTTTTTTAACAGCATACTTGGATTTAAATGAAAGAGCCACAGTCTAACTCCAAAGCCAGCTTTGATTTTTAAGTGAATCAGGACTACCACTCCACTGGGAAGTAAGGAGATATAGTGAGATTTTACCCTGTATTAGATGTTGGTACCATAATTTGGATTCTTCTTTTCTTGGTGATCCTTTCTGAATAGCTATCCTTTCTTCTGTAGGCATCTAGATGTCCAATGTCTTTTGGCTTTTTGAAGATAGGTACTTTTTGTTTTCATGCAAAACAAGACCAGAACCCTGTCCAATGTTTGCGAGGTTTCCTTACAATTTGTGGGATTTACTTTGGTGTATGAGCAATCATTTTTCCTCATCAAGAAGCTTCTCCTGTTCAAGTCGACTCTTGATTAGCTTTAGTGCTATCCATAACTTTTCTTCTCCTGTAGAAACAAAAGTGAAACCCCTTCCCCAATGTAGCACATATCCTGGTTTCTATTCTGAGCTCAACACATCCTTGAAGTACATGGGTTGATTCAGCTCAGAAATTTTTTCTAGTGTCCAATGTCTTTCCATAGCTATTGTTCCTTGCTCATTAGCATTAGGAGAATTCAAGTTTACAAGACATTATGCAATCTGTTTGGAGGGGATCTTGGTTTCCCCTGCTTGTTTATATAGCATTTCTTTTAAGGTGTGATTAGATCTCTCAACAACTGTTTGTCTTGTATGATTGTGAGGTATACCTATAATATGATTTATGTTATCATATTTTAAAAACTGTTCCAATTCACTAGAGGCATATGCAGGATTATTTCCAGTTTTTATTTGTGCAGGTATAACCATAATAACCATTATTTCTAAAAGGTGGGTAATTACAGAATCACCCCTTTCACAGCTCAAAGCAGTCGCCCATTGAAATTCTGAAAATGTATCTATTGCATGGTGTACATATTTTAATTTTCCAAATTCTGCCAAAAGAAACACATCAGTTTGCCAAATGTCATTTCTATGCATACCTTTAGGGCTACTTCCTAAAGGTAAAGGAGTTTGGTTATAAAAGGAACAAGTAGAACATTTTTTAAGACTTCCTTAGCTTGTTGCCAAGTGACACAAAAATCCTTGTTCTAAACCTTTGCTATTCAAATGGTGTTTTTTACTAAATTCTGAGAAATCTAGCACAATTCCTGTTAATAATCAATAAAAATCACCATTACTTTATGCTAGAGGAACTGGCAGACCCATATGGGATCTGATACCTGATATATATATATATATATATATATATATATATATGGGATTATTCCTATTCCATATTATTTCTTGTAATCACATAACAATAAAGTTAATTCTGTATCATCAGGAATAAATTCAACAATTTCAATGTATAACACTACTCTCTCTGCATATTGAGAGTCAGTAACTATATTGAGAGGTTCTGTAAATCCCATTAGTACCATGAGAATGGCATACAATTCTGTCTTTTGCACAGAGTTATAAGAGCTTTGAACCAATTTACTTATATCTCACAGACCCCAGTCTGACAGGTCAGGAACCAGCATAGGACTTAACCAGGCCTCCTGAACATGGATGTCAGTTGGGAGGCCTGAGCATTCTGTAGGGCCTATGGCAGTGAAACTTTTATGTATTCCTAGTGCACAAATGGGCTTTGGGAGCCCATTTCCTATGGGGGGTATTCTCTCAGCCTAGATACATGGGGGAAGGGCCCAGGTCCTGCCCCAATGATGTGTCAGAATTTGGTGATCCCTCATGGAAGGCCTCACCCTCCCTGGGAAGTGGATGGGGTGTCAGATGGGGGTTAGTGGGATGCATGGGAGAATGGGGGTTGGGGGATGATGGCATGGGATTGCTATGTAAAATAAGATTGCTTTTAATTTAAATAAAAAAATATTTTTAAAAAAAGAGCTAGTGAGTAATAAGCCTGAGCTATTTTTTAAGAATTTGTAATTAATATAAGCCTCTGAGTGATTATTTGAGAGTGGCTGCAGGGAGGAAAGCTCTTATTTACAAGAGCGCAGAGGTCTGCATAACTGAAAGGCCCACCCCACCATGGTGAAATATTAGGAAAGATGCACCACTTGAGTTCCCTGTATTACTTTGGGTTGGTGAGTTTTAGTCAACTTGACACAAGTTGGTGTCATCTGACAAGAGGGAACCTCTATAGAGAAAATGCTTCCATCATGCTGTCCTGTGAATCATTTTTTGTTTGATGAATAATTAGAAAGGCCCACCCCAAGGTGACTATTGTCATCCCTGGAAAGGCTGTTCTGGATGTAACAGAGAGCAAACTGAGAGAGTCATCAGGATAAGTCAGTAAGTATTGTTCCTCCAGTTCCTGACTCCAGGTCCCTGTCCTAACTTCCTTTCATTATGAACTACAACTCTAAATTTAAATAATCCCCATGCTCTCCAAGTTGCTTTTAGAATGATGTTTATCATGGAGATAGGAACCTAAAAAGTACACCCTTGTAGACATGTCCACCAAAAGAGCCTCCAAGTTCAAGTAATTGTGTGTTGTATATCTTGAAGAGATATATTGTAAGATTTTTTTTTTAGTTTCCTGAGTATTATAGGACTTCCTCCTCTTCCAGGAGGAAATACAGCTATTTGAACATAACTTAACGCACTATGTACATAATCAAAAAAAATTTTTTAAAGTGTATAATAAATGCTGATCTACCCACACTCTTGTTTGATCTTTGCTGTTATGTAAGAAATAGGAGGTGCTTGTGTATTTTATAATTAAGACAAGATTATTGCATGTGGGAAGTGTTTGATCTTAACTGAGTAGTATCAGGCAACAAAAAAGAGGAGGCAAACAAACTTTGTTAACCTTGAGTTCATGTTCCATGTGTGTATTTACACAGGACATTACACCACCAGGATTGCAATTCATTGGTGTGTTTTGAAGTTACATGTTAACTTCTTGGTTGATTCACCTTTGCATAAAAGCATCTGCAAAGACGACAGATGTCAAGAGCATTTCATTTCAGCAAGATGCCAATAAAACAGACGTCAGTTTTTCTGTTGATTCAGCTGATATGCTACTTTAGACTTGGAACTTGTGGAAAAGTGCTGGTATGGCCCACGGAATACAGCCATTGGATCAATATAAAGATGATTCTGGATGAACTTTTGCAGAGAGGTCATGAAGTGACTGTTCTGACTTCTTCAGCCTCTGTTCTTATTGAGCCTAGCAATGAATCTTCTATTAATTTTGAGATTTACTCTGTACCTTTGGGTAAAGATGAGCTTCAATATATCTTCCAAAAATGGGTAACTGAATGGACATATGACTTTCAAAAGTACTCACTTTGGACATACTATTCAAAAATGCAAAAAGTCTTTAGTGAATATTCTGATATTATTGAAAGTTTTTGCAAAACTGTAGTTTTGAACAAGAGTCTTATGAAAAAACTAAAAGGATCTAGGTTTGATGTCGTTCTTGCAGATGCTATTGGTCCTTGTGGTGAGCTGCTGGCTGAACTGCTAAAGATACCTTTAGTGTACAGTCTCCGCTTCTTTCCTGGATACACATATGAAAAGTACAGTGGGGGGCTTCCACTCCCTCCTTCCTATGTCCCCGTGGTTCTCTCAGAATTAACCGACCACATGACATTTGTGGAAAGGGTGAAGAATATGTTGCAAGTTCTGTATTTTGACTTTTGGTTTCAAGTATTTAATGTGAAGTCCTGGAATCAGTTTTACAGTGATGTTCTAGGTAAACTGTCTTTCACTGTTACAGTGAAATCCTGACTTGCTGTTTCTTTGAATGTGAGTGTGTGTGGATGAATATAAAGTCATAGTACGGTTGCTAGTTGTGAGCTGATAACGTAAAAATAGAAGATAACCCAATAGCATCAAAACAAGGCAATACAAATTGAGACAATCTTGTTAATCATTTGATTTATTCTAAGTCTTAGTATAGGAAACCCTAGGTTTCACTGAATGCTTTAGTGACAATAGATATATATATTAAGGATTCATAATTCAGTACCATGTCTATCTGTATAGCACTGAAGAAAATATGTTCCCTTATAAAAGTTATTTCACTTGTAAATTAAAACACTTATCTAGAATATCATGAAAGGTCTTTCACAATTAAATAGTACCTCTAACACCAGAAGCAGATGAGGGAGCATAGTTTTCTTAGAGTTTGAGACTTCTTAGAAGCATAAAACTTATGACTTAAAACCTAAAATCTTGCTGCAAAATGCAGACATATTTATTGGTTTGCTTTTAAAACACCTATCTATTAAGTAAAATAACACCTAAAGTAAAAGGTAAGAAGAATTTGAATGTTAATTTTTTATGAAAAATATCCAGCTGTAACTTTCACATATACAACTGTTGGTAAATCTAGTCCCTTATGCTGGACCCAGTACAGGAGTAGCTAAAAGGAATTTAGTCATACCTTATAGATTATGACAGAGCATCTGAAGAATCAAAGATCAAGAAACCAGCTTCTAAAACATTATAAGCTTGACTAAATATTCTATAAAAGCTGTTTTGTATTTTCAAGGTACTTTGTAGCAGTCAAAAAACTTTGAAACACTTTGTATAACTTTGGAAGACAATGTAATTTTTATACAAATTAATATTTGTATCAATTACATTTATATTATGAAGTACAAGTGAAACATTTTAAATTATTGTCTACATTATTTCAATTCATCTCCAGAAATCACATGCTATATACTGGACAAAATATTTTCATCATTGTTTTTGTGATGCAGGGAGACCCACAACAGTATATGAGATGATGGGGAAAGCAGATATATGGCTCCTTCGAACCTACTGGGACTTGGAATTTCCCCATCCATTCCTACCTAACTTTGACTTTGTTGGAGGACTCCACTGTAAACCAGCTAAATCATTGCCTAAGGTAACCCTATATTGGTTCCTTTGATAAATTGCTTTGCCTTTTTCATGGAAACAATTCTTTACTGCTCTTTCAGGATGTTTGGTTTCATGAGAAATATAGAAAGTAGATTAGAACTCTCGGCCAATTGACATATACATTATTTTCGTACTTTTAACACATCTCTGTGTATCACTACTATTAAGTAAATTGTCATATCATTTTAGAACATGGCCAGTGATTAAGGGCTTTTATGTAACTCATAAAAGCAATTAATAGGCAGAGGCAGGCAGATCTCTGTGAGTTCGAGGCCGGGCTGGACCGACAGCCTCCAAAACAATACAGAGAAACCCTGTCTCGTAAAACCAAAAAAAAAAAAAAAAAGCAATTAATATTCTTTTCGAGAACTATAGTAATTGACAAAGACACATGTTGAAAACCTAAAGAAACAAAAATAAATCTCTCTAACAAAGTGAACTTAAAATCTTCTTGACCAGATTATAAGAATGAAGAAATGTTGTATGTAGTATAATAAATATTATATAGTGTGTTACCAGAGAAAGATATGCTGAAGAAATTTACAACAAAGGTCACAAGAACTGTCCTAGAATCCTTGCATAGTTACAGTGACCTGTACAGTGTTCAGGGTTAGATGAAAGAGTGAAAGGAAGAAGGAGAAAAGCAGACAGACAATAGCAAGAACCATTGCCATAAACTTCATGCCCAGCTAAGCAGGAAGATGACAAAGCAGACAGTAATAGAAAGATACATTTAGGAGTGTTCCATACTCCCTCTTGTTTTCTCCATTTCCTTATAGTCTTTCTACATTCATGTTTTGCTGGTATTTTGTTTCTATCTTTATATTTTCCACTTATGAAAGAAAACAAGTTTTCTCTTTCTATGTCTGGTTTATTGCTTAACATTGTGTCCTCCAATACATATCTGCTTCCCTGAAAGTTATACAATCATATTTTCAATATCTGGGCAAAACAGAATTGTGTATATATACCAACACTTTTCTACACATTTGTCAGTTGAAGACTAGCTAAGCTAATTCTATATTTGGGTCACTGTGAATAATAAACATCATTATGTGGATTTTTTCCCTTGTGACTATTTCCCTCAGAGCTATCACCTAAGAATGGCATAACTGAACTGTACATTTAGAGCTAATGTTATTTGTATAAATAATCTTTCTTGTGTTTTGCAAAATAGCATCATTTTACATTCCTAACTGCATAAATACATGAATATTCAACCTCCATGTCTATGGGAAAATTTGCTATTGTTTTAATTTTGTGACATTTATGCTCACTGGACTATAATGGAATATCAACATATTTTGAATTGAATTTTCCTAATAACTAAAAATATTAAAATAAGTTTTCATATAATTATGTTACTCATACCTCTACCAAGGAGGATTCCTTCTGGATCATTTACCTATGCTGACTGAATTATTATTTTTTTTGATGCTAGAATTTGTCTAATTCATCTACACTCTGAAAAAGTTTTCAGATTTTTCCCTCAATTTTTAGAGAGTCTATTCATTTTCATGGTATTTTTCTCTGTTATTCAGAAACTTTTACTATAAAGTAGTCCCTTTTGTCAATTCCTAATTTATTTCTTGGGTTGATGGGGTTCTAGTCAATAAACTACTGTCTTTTTCAATGCCATAGGGTTTTCTTAAAGGGATCTGAACTTTCAGCTCCTATTTTTATGTCTTTTATCAATTTTTAGTAAATTTTTGTGGAGTGACTCACAAATTTGCAATTCGAGAGAAAATTTAAGAGTAAGAGAAGGTTGTATTTTCAGCCTGTATGTGCTGATAAATACATTTCCTTGTACCATTATTTTAAAAGGGCTGTGTGCAATTTGTGCACTTTTGTTAGGATTAGAGAAGATGTGTAAACCTATTTCTCATACTTTTTATTTCCCACAATTTTTACTGGTTCTTTAAGAATTTTATACAGTGTGTTTTGACTATATTCAGCTCCCCCCAAGTTCTCCCAAATCCATCTCTCATCCTTACCCAATCTAATTTTCTTTTTTCACTCTTCTGGTCAAATATGTGCTGCCCATGTACCCTTGCATACATGGCCTTCCACTGGGGGTGGTCAGCTCACCAGGGATCATATCATTAAAGAACAGCTACCAATTGCTGATGGCTGCTCAACTAAGGATGGAAATTCATGTCTACCTCTCCTCTCTTTGCTATGATCTTCTCAGGCTTGAGCTTGCACAGGGCTTGTGCATGTTGTTGTAAAGAGTGGAGACCATTTTTGCACTAGCCTGATGCTTCTGAAGCACACTTTTGCCATGTAGGCATCTAACATCTCTGGCTTCTACAGTCTTTCTAAGCCCTCTTCTGCAATGATCCTGAGTCTTGAGATGAGGATAAGCGATATAGGTATTTCATTTAGGGTTGAGCATTCCATGCCCTCTAATTCTATGCACCTTGCCAGTGTGGGTCTCTGTAGTAATCATGACCAGTTGCAAATAAGAACTTCTATGATGAGGGTTGAGAATTGCATTAATCTATAGGCACAAAGGTAAGTCCTTAGAAGTGAGTTTGATACTGTCAATTTATTTGAATAGGACTGACTTTTAGATCCTATGAGCTATCTAGTTACAGGTTTTTGATGCCAGACAGTAGTAATGCCAGGTATAGATTTCATTTTGTGGAGCAGGACTTGAATTCAATCAGAAAGTGGCAACGAACTAACAAATAATATGAACAAAAAATTTCCAAGCAAAACAAACTGAAAGAAAAAGCCCACAAAAGAAAAATGCATAGGGTTTATTTTGTGTTGACCAAGTACTCCAGGACCTGAGTTGTGCTCTGGGATATGACTGATTTACTCAGTGACACTCCTTTAGAGAGAGTTGATTTTCTCCTTTGGTATCAGGTATCAATGCAAACAGCTTCTTAGAAGTGTAAGTCCGTGTCTATCATCAGCTGTCAGTGTTGCAACCTCATCTGGCCTGAATTGTGCATTTTGCACAGTCTCTGTGAACTTACATATTCAGCAGTCAGTTGTATTATATCTGGGAGACACCGGGATGACATCCATCCCTTCCAGCTCTTACAATCTTTCTGCCTTCTCTTTGTGTTATTTTTAAAACACTTCCTAATGGTCATCTAAATTTCAGTGGCATCTCTGGTAACATTACTTTTTATCTCTTTCCTTATTTTGATCAATTGCACTATAGTACAAATGGATTCTCAATGAACAGTGAGTACTGAGGCAATGGAAACACTGGTCTTCTTAAAATAAATAAACTTATTATATGATTTCCTTTCATAGTTTGCCTCAGTCCTTTAGACAATCCTTCCTATGCTGTCATTCATTTGTGATGTCACATTCATCTTCGTAGGAAATAGAAGAATTTGTTCAGAGCTCTGGAGAACATGGTATCGTGGTGTTTTCACTGGGATCAATGATTAAGAACCTGACAGATGAAAAGGCCAATATAGTTGCATCTGCTCTTGCCCAGATTCCACAAAAGGTGAGATAAACTGTCTCCTAGGTGAACAATTCTATTGTAAGTCTATTGAATTCTGAAATGATTCCAGTAAGGAAAATTCCTGTCTGAAAATTAAATGATGGGATCTTTCCTGTTCATCTCCAACAACATTTTAAAAAGAAAGTTATAAATTGAAATGGATAAAATATTAGTCTGGTTCTGACTAACATTATGATCTGAAATGTTATACTTAGATCCATGCATCATCCTGGCACTTAGAGACCTGAGTGGGTCTTTTTCCTCATATTTAAAACCAATTTACACTTACTGGTGATTCCCAAGCTCTCCTGGGCTATACAGTGTGTCCGTATCTCAAAAGAAGTGAAAGGGAAAAATAAGAAAAAAAGAAAGGAAGGAAAGAAGAAATAAAATAAAGATAAATATTATACTGGAGCTGGAGAAACAACTCAGTGGTTAAGAGCACTGGCTGATCTTTCAGAGAGGCTGGTTTGATTGCTAGCACTTAATAGTAGCTTACAACTGTCTCCAGCTCAAGATGCAAGGGATCTAATATCAGGGGCCAAGAGATACAGCAGGTGTTAAGTAGTAATTAACAGGACTACCCACCAGATGTATGATTTCTGATGGCAAGGCTGTGGTTTCACTGGCTGTGGAAACCAGTTGCTCCTGTCTGTAATTTCTCTCATGAGTCACTTTATTCTTCCCTAAGAACTTCTTTTCTTCCCTAAGAATATCTTTGGGTGTTTTCCCACTGCATGTGTGTTTATCTCATGAAAATATTCCATCTACTGGGCACATATATCTGTAAATGGCCTAGAAGATGACTTGTCATTTAGCTATATTATTTTGACAAGTTGAATATATACTGAGACATGTTTCATGGCTTGATCTATTGTCCCACAAGGACGGTGGACTCTGAACAGCCTGCCTTGTTCTCTTGCTCAAGCTAACTGCACACAATTAACTCACTTTCACCACAGAGCAAGTTCAAAGAAGCAAGTTCAAAAAGATCTTTTGTAAATAGATCACAAGTTCAAAACCTTACAGCTATGTACACGTCAGAGCCACAGATGCCCAACCAAGGTTACTAAGAAAAGCATGTCAATTCTTCACTGTGTCTTAAAATTGTCATCAGGCACTATGCTCCCTCTGTCTGGTCCAAGTTGGCTCCTAAGGCTTTGGACCCTTGTGTTTCCAAGGTAAACGGCTCAGCTTCTTATTGCTTGTTCTAGGAATGTGCTTTTGACTAATGAGAAAATTTTCTTTATCATTTCAAGGCTCCTGAAGTAGAAGGGTTTTAGTTATACATGGGTTTTTTTTTATATCACCTCGTTTATTATAGAAGATGAAGTTAGACGGAGCAGCATGGAGAAGTTAGAAGTAGGACAGGATTATTAGAGTGGAAACAGAACAATAAAGAGCACAGGAAGTAAAGAGCATGACCCTCAGATTGAGTGAGAAATTACTATAGAAATTTTCACCCCTCCTTTACTCCTGAGAAGCATTTCACCTTTGGAACCCTGGGTAGGGGCTGGAACTGGTCTCTTAGCCTCTACAATCTAATATGATCTTCAGGTCTCCAGACTACATGCTCATAATGCATGGAATTGCATGCAGGAAAAACACCCACATACATAAAACTAAACACAAATGCTTGTAAAGAAAGAAGGGGAAGGGGTGGAGAGATGGCTCACCAGTTAAGAGAACTGGCTGCTCTTCCAGAGGAACTGACTCTATTCCCTGCAACCACATGGTGTCTCTCAACCATCTATCATGAGATCTGGTGCCCTCTTCTGGCATGCAGGCATGCATGCAGGTAGAACACTTTACATAACAAATTAATTAATTAATTAAAAAAGAAAGGGAAAAAGATCTTCTCAGTGACTGATGTCCAATAATATAAGAGAAAGGATGAAAATAGGTCCTGACCCTGAGGTGAGCCCTGAATCATAAAACTATGAGTGCATCTACATGAACTCTGCTTCTAGCACATCAAGTGAACATCTTTTTTCTGGGTGGGAAAAGAGGATGGAATTTATGATGGATTCAGATGTAAGTCAGTATGGAATAGGAAGAATCTAGCAGCTCCTGACTCCATAAATTTTTATATGATTTGACTCACTTCCTAAAAGCCTCTGTCTTTGATTATTTGTGAGCTACATTTACTCTATTGCTTGGTAACCATTTCTCCTGTTCATGAAGATAAAACCGTTAATGTAAACTTAGTTTATTTTAACAAACACAGAGCATATAGATAGTGATACTGATACTTTGTACTTTTGGGATTGCTTGCTTTTCAGTCACTAGTTTGGTACTAGATATGAAATGTATTTAGAGCAACAGAAACTGTGCTTAAATTTTTCCTATTGACGTTTCTTCTTGGGCAGTCCTTAAAGTTACATCTTTAACTAAGTAAATAACTTCCTAGTAAGAAAGAAATTATTTCTAATAATAGTATACTATATCAATATGATATTTTATACATCAAAATAAACCTATTATAATGAACAGCCTAGGAATATAGGTAAAATTATGTGCCTCTGACTTGAAAAGATGTAAATTAATATTGAATTTGTAAAATAAGAACTAGGGTTAAGCATAATATATACATAATAATAAGTTATTGCTAATTGTCTATAGTTTTCCCAATAAGGATTGTATTAACTGCCTAAAATTTTCATGCATACTTGAATTTATCATTAATCATAAGATCTGTAAAACAAATAATATGATTAAGTATCATGCTTAGGTTATTATAAAGCTATGTACAGAAAATGTATTATTTATTTCAGTCTTTTCTTCTATTTTAAAATCCTCTCTTAATTTCATTAGCAATCATCTGGATAATGTTCATCTTAGTAATATCCTCAATTCTCCTGAATCAAAATATATCAAAGCTTTGAAATATCTGTAATAGAATAAGGTGTTTTCTGTGTGTAACAGGTTGTGTGGAGATTTGATGGTAAGAAACCAAACACCTTAGGATCCAATACTCGGCTTTACAAGTGGATCCCCCAGAACGACCTTCTTGGTAAGGAAGAGGTCAATAAAGAAAGAAAACAAAGGGAACAACAGATCTTGAAGACAGTAAAAAACAAAGCAAACTTGTTTGTATTTATTTTCATAAATACAGAACGTAAAATAACAACCAATAAGTGTTGCCATTCTGTTACCCGAAATCATTTTCTCTATGTCTAGAATCTGAGTATCTTCAGTTCAGCTATAATAACTGACCCCAAGACTTGTCCAGAGACTGTATGAATTGTCCCTTTGTCTCTTGTTTCTTACTTTATCTTTTACTGTACTACAGGAATATGTTCAATGCCACTGAGAATCTTAGTCCCTCCTGCTTCAGCACTAACTCTGTATTTTCTGTGCAAACAAATGTACTATCTTTACCACAAAGTGTTAATGTATTTCTTGATGAACTGTAGCTTGATTGGCCTTTGATTCCATTACCCACCATCCTAGTGACTATACACCACACATACCAGACCCACTGCTGCAACTATTTCCACATAAGTAGTTTTTTTGCCTTTTGAAATTTAATGTGATATTTTAATAAATTCTTTGAAAATTTCACACAATATATTTTAGTCAAATTAAACCATCAACTCCACCTATCTTCTTAACTCCTCTCAGATCTACCACTTCCTGCCCACTCACTTTTTTCTCTTTATCCTTGATTATTATTATTGCATCTATACATATATATGGATATATGAATGCAACCTGCTGAGTCCATTCCATATGCCCATTATGCTTTTGAACTAACCATGTATTAATAGATAACAAATTCCGGGTCATCCCTGAAGAAAACTCATTCTCAGCAGTCTTGAAGTACCTGTGCCTCTTTATCTAGAGACAAGGTACTGTGAAATTTTCCACCTCTACATTGGCATGTCAGCTGGCATATTCATTGTACTGACCTTGTTTAGCCAAGCACAAACTTGAAATCCAATGACCACAGTCTTCCTATGCTATATGAAGAAACAATTGCAGAGTAGACGTCCTTGTCTTATGATTCTTACAGTATTTCCACCCACTCTTCTGAAATGCTCCCTCAGCTGTACATATAGGAGTTGTGTTACAGGTGAGTCATTTGGAGCTTTACACCCCAAGGCAAGTTGTTCTCTGCATTTCGACAACTTTGGCCTTCTGTAATGGTCTCTGCTGCAAAAATGAGACTCTTTAATGAGGGATGAGAGCTACACTTATCTTTGGATATAAGGATAAGGATTTCAAATGCAATTAGAAATTACACTGGTTTGGGAAAGTGTCAGTTGTGGGTTTTTCTCTATGTTCAGAGCCTTGGGAAATCCATGCATGGTACTATAAAACTAACCACATGGCCTTTTTCCCACTGGATCTTTCAACCACAATCTTCCTTTTATTTTCTTATGTGACAATCTTGTTTTCATTTTGCAAGTCTTGAGACATGTACTACTTCTTCCAAATAGTCTTTTCTTACCTCTCCAGCTCACTTAAAAGCTTCTTGCTATGAAATCCAAAGAAATTTCACTACAAATTTTTGGCTATAATATGTTTTCTATGAGTACAGTCCCTTTTGAGCCTTTATATTTCACTTCTCTTTAATATCTCTGGTTATGTAAAATAATTCTCATTGTAGGCCATCCAAAAACCAAAGCGTTTATAGCTCATGGTGGAACCAACGGCATCTATGAGGCAATCTATCATGGCATTCCTATTGTTGGTATTCCATTGTTTGCGGACCAAGCTGATAATATTCATCACATGGTAGCCAAGGGAACAGCTGTTAGAGTGGACTTCAAGACACTGTCAACTAAAAACCTTCTCACTGCCTTGAAGACTGTCATTAATGACCCTTCGTGAGTATAAATATTTCTTGTTTGTTTTTGGGTCTTTTTTTGAGACAGGGTCTCACTGTATAACCACAAGACTGACCTTGGACTCATAGGAATCTGATGCTTCAGTCAACTGAATGCTAGAATTAAAAATTGTGCCATCATGCTTTGTGTATATAATTTCTTCTCTTTTAAAAACCTGATGGAAAGATACTTTTTCTGTGAAATATTTATTTTTATTTTTAAAATTTTTGTAATCTATTTTTGCCCCACACCAATTCCCCCATCCTCCATCCATCCCCATTCCACTACCCAGGGAGGGCGAGACCCTCCTTGGGGGATCTACAAAGTCTGTCATATCATCTGGGATCAGGCCTAGGCTCTCCCCAATGTGTCCAGGCTGAGAGTGCATCCCTCCATGTGGAATGGGATCCCAAAGTCCATTCCTACACCAGGGATAAATACTGATCTACCACCGAAGCCCCATAGATTGCCGAGTTCTCCTTGTTGACACCCAAATTTAGGGGATCTGGATCAGTCCCATACTGGCCTCTCAGCCATCAGTCTGAAGTCCATGAGCTCCCCCTTGTTCAGGCCAGCTGTCTCTACAAGCCCAGTCTTGACCCCTTTGCTCATCACTCCTCACTCTCTGCAACTGGGTTCCAGGAATTCAGTTCAGTGTTTAGCTGTGGGTCTCTACCTCTGCTTCCATCAGTTACTGGATGAAGGTTCTACGATGGCATATAAGGTTGTCATCAATCTCATTATTGGCGAAGGGCATTTAAGGTAGGCTCTCCATAATTGCTTAGATTGCCAGTTGGTATCATCCTTGTAGATCTCTGGAAATCTCACTAGTGCCATATCTTTCCTCAAACCTACAATGGCTCCCTCTATTATGGTGTCTCTCATCCTGCTCTCTTCTATTCTTCCCCCAACTCAACCTTCCTGCTCTCCCATGTTCTCCTCTTGTCCCCTCTCTCACAGATCCCTCTCCCCTCCCCCCATGCTCCTAATTCTCTCAGGAGATCCTGGCCCATTCCCCTTCTCGGAGGGTACCATCCATATCTCTCTTAGGGTCCTCCCTGTTTCCCAGGCTCTCTTGTGGTGTGGATTGTAGGCTGGTACTCCTTTGCTCTATGTATAAAATCCATATATGAGTGAGTACATATCATTTTTGTCTTTTTATGACTGGGTTACCTCACTCAGGATGATTTCTTCTAGTGCTGTCCATTTGCCTTCTAATTTCAAGATTCCATTGTTTTTTCGTCACTGAGTAGTCCTCCATTGTGTAAATGTACCACATTTCTCTATCCACTTTGCAGTTGAGGGGCATCTACATTGCTTCTAGATTCTGGCTATTAAAAATAATGCTGCTATGAATATAACTGAACAGATGTCTTTAGTATGAATGTGCATCTTTTGGATATATGCCTAAGAGTGGAATTGCTGTATCTTGTTGTAGACTGATTCACATTTTCCTGAGGCATCTCCATATTGATTGTCAAGTGGCTTTACGAGTTGGCACTCCCACCAGCAGTGAAGGAATGTTTCCCTTTCTCCACATCCTCTCCAGCATAAACTGTCATTGGTGATTTTGATTTTAGCCATTCTGACAGGAGTGAGATGGTATCTCAGAGGTGTTTTGATTTCCCTGGTGGCTAAGGATGTTGAGCACTTTCTTAAGTGTCTATCAGCCATTTTAGGCTCCTTTATTGAGAATTCTCTATTTAGTTCTGTACCCCACTTTTTAATTGAATCCATTGGTGTTTCGGAGACTAGCTTCTTGAGTTCTTTGTAAGTTTTGGAGATCAGCCCTCTATCAGATATGGGGTTGGTGAATATCTTTTCTCATTCTGTGGGCTGCCATTTTGTCTTGTTGACTGTGTCCTTTGCCTTACAGAAGCTTCTCAGCTTCAGGAGGTCCCATTTATTAATTGTGGATTTCAGTGTCTGTGCTACCGGTATTATGTTCGGGAAGCAGTCTCCTGTACCACTTCATTCAAGGGTACTTCCTACTTTCTCTTCTAAGAGGTTCAGTGTGACTGGATTTATGTTGAGGTCTTTGATTTCGACTTGAGTTTGGTGATAGGTATGGGATGGAAAGATGTTTATCATTGTCATATTGATTTTAATCCCATTTGAAGGAGAATCACTGTGATAAACTTCAAATTATTTTGCATATCTGAAACATGTACTTATTTTCAACAATAAAGTTATTCTAAATTCATATTTGACTTAATAAAATAAATGAAAAATGATTAGTCTGAAATTTTCTGTATATATAAACAATGTTTCAAATATATATATATTGGTAGCAAGGACACTATTTATAAATATGACAGAATATGCATAATGATATAATGATGAACTTTAAAATTAATGAAAGAATGTTTAAATATTTACCCATATTTTCTGAAGTTGTAAAACATTTGGTGAAAATTATTTCATTTCTATCATTATTTTTTTAAGCAGGATCTCATTTTGTAGTGCTGAGCTGGCCTCAGATTAAGAGAGATCCTGCTGACTCTACTTCCCAAATGCTCAGATAAAAAGACTGTTCTACCAACCTTGCAATAGAAGCTGTGGTGACTAGCTTTGACAAAATGTGTTCTAAATTCAATTATATGACATTTCAATATAAAAATAATAGTTTAGGTCATTTTATCACTCTAAAATAAATATTAAGTTTCACTGAACTCATAGCCAATGTCTAAGGCTTCCAAGTCAGTGGTATCAACAAAAGAACCTATGTCAGTTAAAATTAATGTTAAGGCCTGGACAATGATTTAAAAGCAAGCATTCTGGAATGAGATGAGAAACAATATTAAATTCATAACATACCCAAAGAACACCATTGGTATCATCAAGGTTCAACAGAAGACAGATTTACCTAATCAGTAAGTACAGAGACAAAAACAAGGAGAAAATGCTTTTGGTTCTTACATGTCCAGGAACAGAATTGGATTTTTTTCATTTTGTTAAGAATTCTGGTGGAAGTTTTGTGCAAGAAAGAATCATAATTCAAATGTTTTCGAAACGTGAATCTAGTTATAGGTTGAAATTAGGAAACAGAGGTAGAAGAGGAGAGACTGAAACTGAAGAAGAGATATCCAACATGACACATTGCCCCTGCAAAGTTTAAGACAATTCTATATCTACTTCGCTTATTGATCTTATGTCATGTGTTACATGTTCCTCACTTGAAAAAGATTTAGCTCTCCTTACTAACTTTCTCTTGCCAATTCGGAAAATGTTGCTAAGCTATAAAAACTCCAATTAAAAATGAATATCTTATGGGGAATAAAGCAAAAACAGAGACAGCACTTGTAACTATGGTCACTGAGCATGGTGGTAATCTCATCATTTAGAAAATGGATGGAGCCGGGGGTTGGTGGCGCACGCCTTTAATCCCAGCACTCGGGAGGCAGAGGCAGGCGGATCTCTGTGAGTTCGAGGCCTGGCTGGACCGACAGCCTCCAAAAAAATACAGAGAAAACCTGTCTCATAAAACCAAAAAAAAAAAAAAAAAAGAAAAGAAAAAAGAAAGAAAATGTATAGAAACATTCATTAACTAGTTCAAGACCAATGTAACCTACACACCAAGTTCAGAACAAACCTTTACTACATATGACTGTTTCAACTCTCCTCCCTGCCACTAAACTGTCCACCCTGTCCCTCAACTGTCCACCATTCCACCTCATAAAACTCAGCAAATCCAAGCGGTTAATTTTGAGTCACTTTTGGGGGCTTTTGCCCAAACCAAGAAATGTTAAATAGCTCTGCATATTTGTTTTACTTTAACTTTGGTTGTATGCATTGTCCCTCCAGCTATAAAGAGAATGCCATGAGATTATCAAGAATCCATCATGATCAACCAATGAAGCCCCTGGACAGAGCCATCTTCTGGATTGAGTTTGTCATGCGCAACAAAGGAGCCAAGCACCTTCGCCCAGCTCTCCATGACCTCACTTGGTTCCAGTACCACTCTCTGGATGTTATTGGGTTCCTGTTGGTCTGTGTGGCAGCTGTAGTATTCATCATCACAAAATGTTGCCTCTTTTGTTGCCATAAGACTGCTAACATGGGTAAAAAGAAGAAAAAAGAGTAGCTGCATAGAAGCCTGAAGGGTCCTGAGAGATGAGTCTCTCACAGTTGCTTCCAGCAAGAGGAGGTGGTGATGCTAAGTTCTTTCCCACCAAAGCAAGACAGTTTCAGGTCTTCACTAAAGAGTGCTTTGTGTATTTCATATATGTAAGACATGGAAGGTTTCGTGTCAAATATACACTCGGGACTTATAAAAACAAAATCATATGTTCAGTTTATAAATTTTTTTGTAAATGAGATGCTATCCCCAACAACATTCACTGAACTTGATAGTGGTTCACAAAATTCAAGTGGGCATAAAATGTTTGAAAATACCTCTCTGAATATCAGTTACTATTACAAATGTCCAGCCTGCTCTGACTGTATTAAGTGGACTATTTCCTTTCTCATTTTCACTACTCAAAAAAATAATGTTCTGGTTCTAGACTTTGAAATAGACTTGTTGTTTCTTTGTACAAGGTAATTCATTGTTTTTGGTTATTTTCCTGTACACAGACCTCATCTCCTTTATTTCCTAAAAGACCTATGATGAACATTACACTCCTCCAAGCAGAGGCATTTCTCGGTGACATTCAAACAAGCATTCCTACCTGCTTCTGTTAAATTACATCACTTGGGAATCTCTACCACTTGACAAGATTATTCATTCACTTTCCATATTATCCCTTATTTCACTCTTATTTCAGTTTTTGTAGACTTGAGCTGTCAAAGGGTCTGCTTCCTCTCACTTATAAAGCACACGTGTAAGAGAAGACCACAATTATTTTTAAGTCCCAGTATCACTTACCTCATATTGTATTCCAAATCTGAAATGTCCCCCACAGGCTCACAATTTATTTTGTTGATTTCCTTTAATTTATTCATACAGAATATAAGTGTTTTGCCTATGTATATGTCCTGGCACCACTTTATGTCTGGTGCCCTCAAGAAGACAAATAGATTAACTGCATGTTGGGAATTAAGTCTGTGTCCTCATGAAAAGCAGTCAGTGTTCTTAATCACTGAGTTATCTCTTGAGCCCTTGGAGTCTTCTTAAAAGTCTTGTTATTTTAGAATTTTATATAATATGCTTGGATTATATTAAACCCCTCCCCTAACTCCTCCCAGATCCATCCCTGTTTCCTAGCCACCCAACTTTGGGTCTTTTCCCTCATTCTTCAAGTTTATATACAGTGTTCTGCCTGCATGTATGACTGCCAGCCAGAAGAGGGCACCGGATCTCATTACATATGGTTGTGAGCCACCATGTGGTTGCTGGGAATTGAACTCAGTACCTCTGGAAGAATAACCAGTGCTCTTAACCTCTGAGCTATCTCTCTAGCCCCCTGAGCTATTTCTCTAGCCCCATATCCTTCAAACGTAATGTGTGCTGCCCATACATTCTTGGATATGTAGCCTTCTACTGGTAGACTTACCAACAGCAATATTCTTATTTAAAAAAAAAAAGGACTCTCCTTCTCCCAACAGTATCAATTGCTAATAGCTCCCCTGCTAGGAGAAGGCCTCCATGTTCACCTCTCCTCTCTACACTGAGATTTGGTCTGACCTGAACTTGCATGGAGCTCTTACATGCTGTCACAATCCCTGGGTGTCCATATATACAAATGCCTTGGTGGCATATGGAACACACAGCTTCCTTGTAGTTATCCACCACCTCTGGCTCATGCTAACTTTCTTCAACAACAATCTGAGCCATGAAAGGATGGTCTGAAATAGTGATATAGGGGCCCCTTTTTTGGATTTTTTTAAGACAGGATTTCTCTGTGTATCTTTGAAGCCTGTCCTGGTACTTACTTTGTAGACCAGTCTAGCCTTGAACTAACAGAGATCTGCCTGCTTCTGCCTCATGAGTGCTAGGATTAAAGGCATGTGCCACCACCATGTGGCATTGTTTATACTCTATGTTTACCACTATCAGCTGCAAAAGCTTTGTTTATGGAGCTGAGAGAAGCTCTAATCTATCTGTAAGTCATTAAGAGTTCATTTAATACAATAGTCATTTTGCAAAATATAGCAGTAAGTTCTCCCCTAGGTTGTATGTCCTGTAAGGCCACAGATTCTTGATATAAAAATGGTGTCAAATATGAGTTTCTCTATGAATCCAAAAGAGGATGTGGTGGTTTAAAAGAGAATGGCCCCCCAAAGGGAGTGGCACTATTAAGAGGTTTGGTTTTACTGAGCTGAACTCAAGAAAGCCAGTAACAGAGAGGGAGGACTGATGACAAAAGGGATTAAGACTGGGCTGGTTTAACCCCCAGAAAGAGCTTACCTGACAAGGGTTAGCTCTTGAATCCCAGGCTGATGCCTGGGAATGCAGCATGGGACTGATCAAGACCCCCTGAGTGTGGGTGTCAGTGAGGAGGCCTAGGGCAGTAGATCAGTATTTATCCGGGGTATACAAATGGACTTTGGACTCCCATCCAACAATGTAAGATGCACTCTCACCCTGAACTCTTGGGGGGAGGTTCTAGGCCCTGCCATGTATGAAATGATAGACTATGGACACCCCCATGGAGAGCCTCACCCTCCCTGAGGAAATGAGGGGATGCTGGGGGGCGTTGGGGGAAGAACATGGGAGGAAGGGAGGGAAACAGAGAGGGACCTGGAACTGACTTGTGAAGCAATCTTGTTTCTAATTTAAATTTAAAAATAAATAATAAAAACAGATGTTTGGCTTTGTTGAAGAAGGTATGGTCTTGTTGGAGGAAGTGTGTACCTGTGGAGATGATCTTTGAGGTCTCATATATGCTCAAGCTACTCCCAGTGTGATAGGCCACTTCCCATTGCCTGCGAGACATAGGACTCTTAGCCACCTATCTAGCACTGTCTGCCTGTGTGCTACCATGTCTCATCACGATGATAGTGGACTTAACCTCTGAAACTATAATCTCCCACATCAATTAAATGTTTTTCATTTGTAAGAGTTGCAGTGGCCGTGGTGTCTTTCTAGAACAATAGAAACCCTAAGAAATAGAAACAGTTCCTAAAAGACAAGCACTCCAAACGCTACCCAGAGACCACATAGACCTTAAAAACCATGCAGTTTTATGATGATTGCCAGGTTCATTTTTAGTAGAACTATACTTGATGGCCCCAGTGAAGAAATTAAATGAAAAACATGCATTCAAACAGCTAAATGAGCTGAACTGTTGCATTTGGTTATATAGTATAGTTCATTTTAATCCTGGAGAACTTCTGTCAAAGACAATGTTTCTTATGAAACTTGGTTGACATGAAACTGTTTTGACAGTATACAACCACCAGCTACAGCAGCTTTGAAAAGGAAATCCTGAGTTTTTTTCTCAAAGCAAAACAAACAGACAACAAACAAAAACACTGTCCTCAACATGCAAAAATCACACTACTCCTTGCAGCATCCTTCCCATTTCTAGAATAGCACTATCAAGTTATGTCTGAGTTAGCTATGATGTCAGATTATGATAGTCCTGTTTTTACACTTAGAACTTGATCCTGCCCATGAGAAATTCATAATAACACACCAGGATTATAAAGTGAGATTTGTGGATTCATTCAAAAAGCATTCACTGTGTATCACATTGTTCTATAAAATGGAGATATAAAAATGAGTATAGCATGGCTTCTGTTCAGGAGGAACTTAAAATAGGTGGGTTATAAGCTATCACTGAAGGTGTAAATAACTGTTACAATCTGTTACAATGTTGTGACCTGAGTGTCATTTGCTGTTTTCTTTTTTAATTTAGTACTCCTAGATTTTTACTAACTGGAATAGAAATGAAATCTGGCGGTGGTATGATGACAAGTGTTTATATAAGGACAGTGATTCAGACGACCAGAAAATAAAGTTGATCAGATGACTCAGTAATAAGAGCACATACTAGTCATTCAGAGGACCTGAGTTCAGTATCAAGCACTCAGTTTTGGTGACCCATGGGTCACCAGGGAATCTAATAACTTTGAGCCCTGTGGGCAACTATACTCACATGTGTGACCACACACACACACACACACACACACACACACACACACACACGTGCACGCACGCACACACAACTAAAAATAATAGAACACCTTGTTTTCAAAACAAATGTCTTTATAGTAACACTGAAAATTTATCCATTCTTTAGACATGAATCCTATGTTACAAAACATGGATATTTACTGAATTAATTTTAAAAATTTTACTGTATTATTACAACAGTGGCCTTATGTGGGTATTCATAAGGCTGGGCATGTGTATGGATGAAAAAGAAGAACAAGTCTGGTTAACTATACCTTTATTTGCCTTTTGGGAACTTCTTTTGTGTATTATTTTTTCTGACTACTTTCCTGCAAAATCAAAGTACACAGATTTATTTTTAAATATTACCAAACCAGATATTTTAAAAATGTAAATCACAAACCCCAGTATGGCAGCTGGGGAACTAGCCTAGGACCAAGCCAGGTCACCTGAACATGGGTGGGTGTCAGTTGGGATGCCTGGGCAGTCTATGGGGCCTCTGGCAGTGGAACCAGGGTGTATCCCTAGTGCAGGAGTGGGCTTTGGGAGCCCATTCGCTATGGAGGAATACTCTCTCAGCCATGACACATGGAGGAGAGCCTAGGTCCTGCCCCAAATAATGTGACAGACTTTGATGATTCCTCATGGGAGGCCTCACCCTCCCTGGGGAGTAGATGGGGGATGGGATGGAGCGTTGGCTGGGGGCATGGATAGGAGGGAGAGGGAACAAGGACTGGTATCTAAAATAAGATTGCTAAAAAAAAGAGCCCATCCAATTATCTGGTTTAAAAAAATGTAACTCAACAGTTATGACTTTACTGCAAGTTCTTTTTCAAGGAAGGTACATTAGAAGGAGACAGAAAGAGAGACAGACAGACAGACAGACAGAGACAGAGAAGAGAGGAATTATTTTACATTGTTCTCCAAGTATATTATACATTCAAGGTCACTGAAAACCAGGAGTCATTTCACAGGCTTACATGTGTCCCTTTATTTTTCATTTGGCAACCAGAGGCTGTGACTGTTCCTAGTCCCTTGTGTATTTGCTTTCCTGGATATAAGTTACACTTTAACTAATTGACTGTTAACTCTGTCTATATCTGCAGGACCTGAACAATCACCATTTGAAGTACAGGTCTGAACTTAAACCAAGATGTCTCTGAAAATGACAGCAGCCCTACTACTGCTACAGCTGAGTGGCTTCTTTAGATCTGGGAGTACTGGGAATGTGCTGGTGTGGCCAATGGAATATAGCCATTGGCTCAACTTAAGAACAGTGCTAGATGAGCTTGTGAAGAAGGGTCATGAAGTGACTGTTCTGAAACCCTCAGCTTCCCTTTCTTATGAGACTGATGACACATCTGTTATTGAATTTGAAACATACCCTACATCATATTCCATGGCTGATGTAGAGAAACTTTTCATGGAGTC